GTGTTTAACTAATTAGTTAGCTTAGTCTGTATTTGCAACACTTTTGAGGAAAGAAAGAAAACATTTTTATATAAGTAGATCATTGTTTTACATTTTAATATTTTATTTTATTCACCAGGCCACCATTAAAGCAAAACGAGGGAAGGAACCTCTTTATTAGAGCCAAAATATTTAGAAAAATTAAATTTCGAGTTACAAAAGGAATTTTTAGTAAATGGTGGCAAATTACCGTTTACTAAAAATTTAATGAAATAAAGAGGCCAAATAAATAATATACAAATGGTCTGTGTTGAACAGACTTAACAAGACCCGGTTCGGGTCAGCTTGGTTTACAAATTTTTATGTCTACTTATCTCTTATAATTTTTATTTTAGTTTGTTCTATGATGCATTAATGTATTAAAAAATTTGTTATACCTATGTTTGATCGTAAATTAAATTTTTTTTTGTTTGAAAGGTATTTGTACTCAGTTGCGTAGTATAATAAACTTTGTTATTTTTTATAAATTTATTTAAACGTGTGCATTTAACATTTTTAAGTTAACAATTTTCTTTTCTAAAGAACAATTAATCAAGGGGATAACAAAAAATTGATAACTCCTGTATAATATAAGTTAACTTCATTTTAATCTTAATGGTTCGTGTTATAAAAATTATTTTAAGGATTTAGTTGACACTTTCGTCAATTTAAAGTATAACCAAGTGTTATTATTTTGCGTCAGTAACTAAAAACGTATTATGTTAAACTTAGGAAGGTCGATGAAAATGGTTCTGCCTTACACTGTTATGACCTGTGCCATTTGTAAATTACTTAATAATGTTAAGTAGTAGTTGGTAAATTATTTTACCTCCTCATAATTTTTATGTTAATTTTACAGATGGATTAATTTTTTCAAGCTGAAGGCAATTTTCTAAAAGGGTATTAGTTAAGGTTTTGCAAGATTAAATAGTGGAAAACAGCTACTATAAATTAATTATGTAACAGACCGACCAAAACCCGTATTACGGGTTGCCTTTTGCTAGTAAAAATAAATTAGACATAAAAAATCATTGTCGATTATAAATGAAGTAACTGGCAGAGAAAAAAAGAAATCCTTTGTCATACCTCAAAAAATATTTTGTGATAATAAATACATTAAAAATAAATAAGATATTTACCATGAACTTAACAAACACTTTGTAAGTCTTAGTCCCAGTCTAGCTTCAAAAATAGTGATGCCAAATAAGAAGTTTGATGAATTTATTGGAGAAAAACCCCTATCGTGTATATCAAATGAAAAAATATCCTATAAAGAATTTAACAAAGCTCTGACTGAACTAAAGCGAAATAAGTCATACTTGAAGTTAAACAAACTTTTATATAAAAATCAATTTGGATTTCAAAAAAGTTGCTCAACAGAACATGCTATCATTGAACTTACTAATAAAATATTTCAATTTTTTGATAAAGGAGATCATGTACTGGGAGTATTTATAGACCTTTCAAAGGCATTTGATACAGTTGACCACAACATCTTACTATCATAATTAAAACATTATGGTATCAAAGGACTAATGTATAAATGGGTAAAAAATTATCTGAGTAACAGAAAGCAGTTTGTACTTAACAAAGAGTCAAGTGTTTTTGATATTTAGTGTGCCTCAAGGTCCCTCAAGGCTGAATCTTAGGACCGTTATTGTTTTTAATTTACATCAATGATATGTATAATGCATCATCTATAGTATCTTCAATAATATATGCTGATGACACAACTTCATTTTATAATCATAGTAATTTAAAATCGATGTTCGAAACAATAAATGCCGAACTGGAAAACTTTAATTTATGGTTTAGAGCAAATAAACTATCCTTAAACTGTGAAAAAACTAACTACATCTTATTTCATAAAACAGGTCAATCAATGACTCTACCGTTAAAAGTTCCAGAATTGCTCATTAACAACGTAACAATAAAACGGGTAAAATATGCAAAGTTTCTTAGTGTTTATATTGATGAAAATTTATCATGGATAAATTATATTGGACACATTGAAACAAAAATATCATCTGCAATAGGTATCTTATATAAAGGTTGCCCGTTTCTTGATTTCTTTTCAAGAAAAAAACTTTACTTTAGTCTAATTCACAGTCATCTCACATATGCTAATATAGTGTGGGTTAATACACACAAAACAAAATTAGTCAAATTACAAGGCTTGCTAAACCATGCTTGTAAAGCAATTCATTATCTAGGTAGAATGGACAATCCTTCCAATGCGATGACAAATATGAAAGTCTTAAACTTGGAAAAACTTAATTTATATCAGACTCTTATTTTTATGTTCAAATATAAAAATAATATGCTACCAAATTCTTTTTTAGACAAATTTTCGTCATCATTTTCTCAAAGTTATAACCTGCGATCAAATAGCTTCCATAACTATTATATTAAAAAAACTAAAACACGGGGTTCTGAATTTTCAATTATGTCACAGGGTCCTAAAAAATGGAAAAACTTGAAAAATCAAAAATTAAAAGACTTAAATGGATTATCGTCGTTTAAACGGCAAGCAAAGCTGCATATTCTTAGTTTGTAAAAATGATTATAATAAATTAAAAAAAAAATGTATAAAAAGTAAAAAAATAAAAAAAAAAAATAAAAAAAAAATAAATAAAAAAAAATAAAAAAAAAATAAAAAAATTATAAAAATATGTATGTGTATGTATGTATATATGTGTATGTGTATGTATGTGTGTGTGTGTGTGTGTGTACGTGTGTATGTATGTATATGCGTATATATATATGTGTATATATATATATATATATGTATATATGTATGTGTGTATATGTGTATATATATATATATATATATATATGTATGTGTATGTGTGTATGTGTATATATATATGTATGTATGTGTGTGTGTGTATGTGTGTATATATGTGTGTATATATGTGTGTATGTATATATATATATATATATATATATATATATATATATATATATATATATATATATATATATATATATAAATATATATATATATAATAGTTATTAAACCAGAATTTATATTAAAGTTTGCATCAACTATATAAATGTATAAATATTATATTAACGAATTTTAATCAATCTGATACGCAATAATTTTGTATATATATTTTCTTTTTATCACGATAATAAATGTATATTTTATATGGCATACCTGGAGAAGAAAAAAAAAATTAATAATAAATAAAAAAAAAAAAAATTATTTATATTATCACCAAGTCTGACGAGTAAGTCAGTATCTTTAACTAAAATAGTTTTTTCGTTTGTGGCAAGATGCTTCAAAATCATATTTTAAACATTTAGAAGCAAACTGAAGCCAAAGAACCCCGACGCATGGGAACTGACTTCATACAAGACCTAAGACAAAAAGATCAGAGCTCATCTGCTGTTCTATATGCGAAGAGCAAGATAAAATTTCACAGCCGTTGAAATTGCAGATCATCGATAGATGATTTTTAACTCAACAAAAAATTTATTTTTCTGTATACAGAAAAATAAACTTTTAGTTTGATTAGCACTTCTATTGAAAGGACCGGATAAATAGTGAACATCGTTGCAATAATTCGAGAGTTGGAGATGCAAACATGTGAGAATACTATAATGGTTTTATCAGTTTTCTAAGCACAAGTATTGAATTTAGCTGATACTGATGCTACTAGTTCGGTCATTAAATATATTTCTCTCTTTTAATTGCTCAACTTGTGTGTCATTTTTTTTTTTTTTGAAAGAAGCTTACCAATGCATGGACGTTTGAAAAAGCATCAGTGAAAAAACAAAGTATCAGAGACTTGAACAAAAAAGATGGACAACAAAAGAAGCAGCACTTAAACATTTTTTCGGCATTTTGACAGTAGTGAAAGTTCACTATACGTTGATATATTAATAACTTTAAATTGCTTTGTGTCTTATACATTTTTTAATGCGTAAATTTAAATATATTGTATCAAGTCTAATAGAGTTGTTTTTAAAATTATACTAAAAGCTCACCTTTTAAAACCCTTTCTTTTTTACGGTAAAGTAAAAAAGAAAGTGTTATGTTTGTTTTTACAACTTTTTCTTACAGCCCTATAATCAGAGGCGATTTTAGGGGGGTGTTCTCCTCACCCCAAATAAAGTGATTTTAAAGTTATAGCCGGTATTTTTACGAATTATTAAGGTGCTCCCAGAAGTCTACACGGTCTTATCACAGAGCACTTACGAAGTCGCTAATTGGGCTAGAACAGCCGTCGCACCTCGGACATCTAGGTCCGGAGCCAAAATTCCTAAAATTTTAATAATTGTCTAACTTGTAATATTTCTGCTTTTAAATAAAATAGCTTCTTTTTTTTTTTTTTTTTTTAATTTTGTTATTTAGGTGCCCCAAGAAGACCTAAGGATCTTGTCACAGAGCACCGCGGAAGTGCATTTAACCAGGAAGTTCACGCCTCCTTCCTTACCGTGATGCGAAATATGCCCAAGGCTCGTTTTGAACCTGGATTTCCTGCTTATAAAGCAAGCGTAAAAAAACAACCGCATAATCAACGCAAACTTAATTGTGCATTAATTGTTAACTATACAGATTGAAAAAAAAAAAAAAAATCATACTATATTTAATAATTTTACTTTATTTGACTTTTCAAAAAACACCTTTTTTAACTTTATTTTATCTCGTGATTCTACAGAAAAAAGTTTCACAATTAGGGACAAGTCTTGAACATATTCAAGTTAAGTGAAGCATACTTTTTCTCGTTTTTAAACTTTCAAAGTTAAAGTTACTACCAAAACCACCAGAGAATTCAAATGAACTTTTTTTCTTCACTGATGAATTAATTCCAAAAAGTAAAGATTAAAAAAAAAAAATTAGTTCCACCTTTTAGTTAATATGCAATACTACAAAAAAAGGTCACTGGCCTAACACACTGGCTTTTTTGTTGTTATTACAACTTTTCTATTTATAAACATCCAACAACCAACTTTTCAAAGAAAAAAAAACATTTCTTGTAAAAAAAAATCATATTTGATCTTGAAATTTGGTAAGTTTATAAATACATTCTTCAGAATATCAGCTGTGTATTTTCTATTACTAATTTTAACTACTTCTATTATTTTCCATAAATTGTGTCCAGAGTCAGTCCTGTAAACACTAAGAATACAGCTACTATTTGTCGGCTTGTTATTGGGTTACCGAAAAATAGAATAGAAAATAGAATTGTGAAAAACTTTCTTGTAGTCGTTATCACAGAGCATGTAAGCGGACCATAATGTGACACCGTCGTGAAGATGAAATTCTGTTAAAAAAGAAATGTGAATATATATATAAACAATAATAAATTCAATAATAAATAAAACACACTATATATTTATTTTAAATGACAAATAACCAAGCATACGTTAAAACATAACGCATAACTATTGGGAAGGGGAGAAGAAAAGAGAAAAACCCCCGCAAAAATATTTCGTGAACGAACAATAAAAAAAATTTTTAACAAAAAGATCCTTTAACGGCAGTTTTTAACATTGCACAAAGCAAACTTTTCTGTAGATTAACACGCAGAGATAGAAAATTCTTATCAATTTTGCTCTGATATTAAAATGTAAAGAAAGTTTACAATAAACTCATATAAACCTAATGCCAATATAAACTTAAGCCAAAATAAACCTCAATCTGAGAAAGTTGTTAAAGTTATCGCAATTATTCATAATGCATGCATAGTATTTCAAACGTTTAGTGTTTAATGAGGTTATGACTGGAAATGAGGTATACATACTTCCAAAGTTTACTTTATATTAAAAAGCCAAAAAAAAAAAAAAAAAGCCAAAAAAAAATTTTTTTTTTTTTATTTCTGGCTACGCGGTACACGAGGTAAGGAATATAAGAATTATCTCTAAACAGAGAAGATTCTTGAAAAATTAAAACCAATTTAAATGATTTTGCAGTTCCCCCAATAAAAAACAATCCCTCACCTCACCCACCAATCTGCACCAGAAAAACCATTCAATTTGAAATGATATATTTGAAGTAATCAATATATAAAAAAATAAGACTTTTTATAAAAATTTAACTAACCTGGCCTAACGCACTAGCAATCGAAAACAACATCATGTTCCACAAAACTTCAGGATATCTACCAACAAAAGCCAAAAAACCGAAAAATTCTCCACTCCATATCATGCCTAAAATGTACCATATAATTTATGTTTTTAAGAATAGGAATGTCATATCTTTGAAGAGCAAATACTTCTTACAACAAGATTGACCACAAAATATGCCCAAATTACTTATTTGGTTTGTTGGTTTGTAGTACTCTTAGGTGCTTAATAAACAGAGGAGGAGGAGGGAGAAGGGTTAATAATTTTGTGAATTTTTACCACCCCCAACCTTGTTAAGACCCTCCCCCCCCCCCCCCCTATTCATTATTTTTACTTATCAAAAAAACAAAAAAAATCATTTTATCTTATCAAAAAAACGAAAAAAAAATTTCAAAAAAAGCATTAAAAACTAGAAAATATAATAAACTAATAAGAATAAAAACTTTTAGTGTAATCAGGCTTTTAAAATCAATCAATAAAAAATCTCGTAAATCTTGATTTTAAAAAAATTAGGTTTTCGTTTATTTCTCACCATAGTTATATTAGGGTAGGGCGGGGCTAGTTAGGCAATTTTTAATAAATCTAACAGATCTCTTGAACGGTACATTGGATTAACATAATTTTTTCACTATTAGAAAGATAATTTGATCTGCTAAAAAATGGTTGAGATAAAAAAACTTTTTTCGATTTGTTTTAAAAAATATAGTCTAAAGCTAATTAGGCTGCTCAACCTACCCCAGCGGGGTAAGTTGAGCAATTGCATGGGGTAAGTTGAGCAATAAAAAAATAAATGCATTTCTGTGACAACTATTAACTCTGTTGTAAAACCAAAACATAGCTTCCTTATAAATTAAATATATACTTTCAATTTTAACAAATTATTCAAGATATGAATATCAAAACTAATAATTTTGATACTAAAATAAAAACAAAAACAAAACTTTTCAATCTTAAAACTAAACACAACTTTTTTAAAACATTTTAAAACAAAACTTGTTAATATTATGATAAAATAATAACTAAACACTTTATGTTAGTCTTCAATTTCCATTTTGCAGTTAATACAAATATAATTTTAACCAGAATGTGAATCACATTTTGAATGAGACCATTGATTGCAACCTTGACACTGGATCCAATTTTCTTCTGGTAGACTTTCAGAATAAGTTTCCCAACATACAAGACAAGCATAATCGTGTTCTGCACTTGTCTTTAATTTTTTTGTCATCTTAGTTTTTTTGTTTGATTGTTTTTTAACTTTTTTTTAATATACTAAGCAGCAGAGTCTCCTTATTACCATCATCTGCAAAGGATTGACTGGCAGAACTTTTTTTTGGTTTCTTTAAAATTTCTTTCTTCTCAGTTTTTTTGTTTGTTTGTTTCTTAACTTTTTTAAATATACTATGTAACTAAGTCTTTTTATTACCACACTCTTTATTAATATTTGAAAGGAATTGACAAGTAGATAATTTTTTTTGTTTCTCAACTTTTTTAGGTTTTTTAGTTTGCTGCTGTTTTAATATAATTCTTTCTGGAGTGACTGTTAGAATAGCAGCTTTCCTTTTTCTTCGTCTTGTCGAATGTTTCTTTATTGGTGCTGCTTTCGGGTAAGGTCGCACAGTTTGTGGAGAAAATGCTTTAGGAGTTTCAGAAAAAAGTAACGTTGTCTCTTTATTAATACTACTTTTGACAGATTGACCTGAAGATGATGTTTAACATACTTCAGAATGAGCTACATGTGATAGCTCAGAAAGGAGATTTGCTGGTTCTATACGATCTGTGACAAATGATGGTAAAAAATCAGCAGCAGCAAAAATGTTTGCAATAAATAATTGCCGTAAAATTTAGATGCCATTTGCAATAAATAATTTTTTAAGGCGCTTTCTTGTTCTTGGGAAAAAATTAATCTAGGTTTTGAATAACCCATGGATGGGTAACCACCAGAGTTTAGTTTTAAAATATATCTTGATGTCAAATTCTTTAGCAGCTGCACTAACACTTTTTTTTCTTTCCAAAACAGAACTTGCTGCATCACTAAGCTGTTGGCTTGTGAAAGGAGGCGTATTTATAAAGTTTTTTATAATTACGCATCCTATAATATATATATATATATATATATATATATATATATATATATATATATATATATATATATATATATATATATATATATATATATATATATATATATATATTGTTGTTTTGTTTATTTGATAATAATCAACTCATTTTCGATTTGAGAGTGATCAATATAAAGTAAAATAATCACAAAATAGATCAATAAATAAATAAAAGGTTAGATGAGAAAAAACAACCGTAAAAAAGTTGTTTTTTCTCATCTAACCTTTTATATATATATATATATATATATATATATATATATATATATATATATATATATATATATAAAAGGTTAGATGAGAAAAAACAACTTTTTATATATATATATATATATATATATATATATATATATATATATATATATATATAATCAAAATAGAAATGTATATATAATCAAAATAGAAATGAAATATCATATTTTATATATGTTTTGATTATATATACTTTAAATTATATGTTTATATAATATAAATTATAAGTTATATGTTTTTTAAATATGCACACTATCATAATATTATCATAACAAACATAGTAAACAAGATTAATTAAAAAAAATTATTTAAGAACTTTTTAACTCAAAGATTTTATTGACCACGTAATATTGAAGTAAAAATATATTAAAAATATTAAAAAATCAAATAATTTTAAATTATAAATACGGATTTAAAAAAAAAAGGTTTAAGATATTACCTTATAATTGTTATGAATATTTTATAATGATTAATTTAAAAGTGTGAATGGACCTTAAAATGTTCACCAAATGAAATTTTATCTTTGCGTCTGATAGAGCTGTCTTATTATTTGTTGTCAAATCTGCTCAACTTACCCCTACTAGACAAGGCGACACACCAGTTAGGTTATAAAAAGAACTATAAGGCTTGAGGAAAAAAGGGTAAGTATAATCAATAGCCAAATAAATGGGTAAAATATAAACACTTAAGTGATTCCAGATAAATGTTTTTTTAAGCATTTAAGAGAAAAATAGCAAAAATATTTTTTTTTACTTTTTTGGTCCAAAATTGAAAAAGTGTCTGTGCATGTTACTGAACCACAGTCCAACAACCATTTGATGCGCATTTTGTTACCATTCTAAATACCTATCTTTTATCCATCAGATGTTTTGCCATGGGATGAGTAGTTTTTGAGATAATTTAGTTGCCCAACTTGTCCCTATGCTTAACTAGCCCTGCTCTACCCTAACTTATATAAGCATATTAATTCCTGTTGAAATTATGATACATCTGTTAAAAAAATGCGCATTTTGCTGCAAGCCAAACAAGAATTACAACTGTTTTATTCATGTTCTTTAAAAAATTTCCACCCTCCTTTTTATTAACCCCCCTCCTTTCCTTTATCAAATCTAGACTAAAGTTTACAAAATTTAGAAACTTTGATCAAATTTGTGGAAAATATTTAATTCTGACTGTGTTTGATTGGAGTTTGAGTTTTTAGTTTTTATTTTCTCTTTCAGTGTTATTATTTTTGAAAATTTTTTTCCAACAAAATTCACTTCAAAAAAGAAAAAAACTCCAACTAAATATTGTTTGCAAGCAACCAATATTTAAGTCACCAGAAAACAAAGAATATTTTTAAAGAGCAACAAAACAGTTGATTAAAAACATGAAAGCTGTAAATTGCATGAGTCTGAAAAACATGAAGACTGGAGAGAGTTCTAAAGCATCAATGTGCAAAGAATAAAACTTAATAAAAGTTTTTAGAGCAAGCAGGAGAGATAGAATTAAAGGATGTGTTTTGTTGAATAACGAGCCTAGCAAAAATGAGTTTTGAATGATGGAACATGAGTTGATAGCTTGTTTGACCAGCAACCATGATAGTATTTTTAAAAAGAAGTGAGATGCAGCCTTTTGGCGATATGACAGTAGCTCAAATTTGACAAATAGAGCAGGTCTATCTACATTTACAATTAATTTTTTATCTTGTCTAGAAAGAAAAGGGTATAGGGAAGAACCAGCATAAATGGCAACAGCATTCATACAAAGACAAGTAAGAGATTTGGGTAGAGGTAGAGAATTGAATCAAAAGTAAGGAAATAGTAAGCACAATAAAAAAACAACAACCGTAGCAGATACTAATTTTCCAACAGATAGTATATATGGTTTCCATGAGAGTTCAGTAGTGAATGATAATCCAAGAAGACATAGATGACTCAAAAAGTAAAGTCAGAGTGTTTCCATTCAACATCAAAAATATTGCAATTATTGTTTGTAGCAAATAACTGAGTTTTTTTGAGCTAAAATTCACAAGCCACACCAAGCCCTAGGTGGTCACAGGAAAGAGATCAGATTCAAGATCAACTTCAAAAATTTCTTTAATACTGTAGTTAAAAAAAAATGATTTTCAAAATTTTTATTCTGATTTACTCTCACAAGGCTACAAGCAACCACAATTATGTTGGGAGCTACTAGAAAAAAAGAATAGAGTTATAGAGCAAGGAAACGGTTGTTATATGAGTCAAAGCAACATGTTTATTCTAAAGCAACAGCCCTTGCCATGCTGTCTGTATTTAATGCATGATAGAACCTTCCTGTTACAACAGTTAGCAAGTCAGCTGTAGGATGAGAAGATCAAAATCTGTATTGATTGTCAGAGAGTCGGTTACTAGACTCTGAAGATCTTGCTAATAATAGAGTGAAGATTATATTGTGGTATGATCATGATTGTGGTATGATCATGATTGTGGTATGATTGTGGTATGATCGTGACTGTGGTAATATCGTGATTGTGGTATGATCGTGATTGTAGTATGATCGTGATTGTGGTATGATCTGATTGTGGTATGATCTGATTGTGGTATGGACGATTGAATAATAAAGTTTTTAAATTTAAATTGATTTAAATTTAAATTAATAAAGTTTTTAAATTTAAATTGGAACCACAGATGTCATTTTCCATCAGACAGGAATACAAGATTCAGTTAAGCACTTATTAAATAGTTTAGAAAGTATTGAAGAGAGTTATAGAGAACGACTTTGTAAAACTGTGACAGGAATGTTATCTGAACCACGACCTATAGAGGAGCTTAAGTGAGAAATAATATTAGTAATGGAAGTCGAGGTGATTTGGATGTATAACAATGGATTAATCTGATTCTCTGGAATGACAAGAAGAATGTGGTCATTAGAACGAAAGTTTTTTGCATGTAGTTTTGCTTTATCCTCGGGAGAAATAACAAGATCAGATCAAATTATTAGAAATGGATCAGACTTACCTTTTGTTAATGACGCTATTAAACATTTTTTTTAAGTCACTTGGACCTACCTTCTAAGATAAAATATGAGAATATTAGAATTTAGTGTTTAACAGTGCAGTTTTACATTGAAAGAGTTGTTTTCATAATTTCTTGTAATAATAAAAATAGATTTGTTTTCAAAAGAGATGTTTCCATGAAACAGATGAAAAAACTGACTAGAAATTAAAAAATTAGCCGCACCAGATATTGAAAAACATGTTTATACAGTTAGCTCAGAATTCAAAATTTTTATTACCTATTGCCAGTATAACAGTAGACCATTTATTGACACCATACATCATAGTATGTGGTTGACTTTTATAATCGCGACGCATTCTTTCCTGGAAAACTCCAGTCATTCCATCAAGAGCTAATGAAACAATCTGAAAAAATAAACTTAATCAATGCATTTACTTTATATTTATTATAGAACATACAATTCTTTAAACTTTAGGCATTAAATTTGCATAAAAAATATTCATATATTACCAAAAGTATTTCACCATAACCAGTCACTGATTCTTGAGTACTTGACGATTTTTTCTAAAGAAGATTTATTACCTTAAATAAATTGTTTCAATTTGCATTCAAAAATTTCAGAAAAAATTGTGCTTTTATTTTCTGGAAATTTATACCAATTCTGGAAATTCATATCAATAAATTGGAAACTCCCAATGAGTAAAGTCAGTGATATAATAATATTTTCTCCCTGCTTACGCTGCAAAGATGTAACTAAATGGTCATTTACTTGATTATGGGTTTAAAAGTTTTCTAGACTCAATTGTAATGCTAAAACATTTCTCAGTACATTTTAAATCTAAATGTTGTTTTATTTTTACAAGAAAAAGTGTTTTGCATTTATTACACTAAAATTCATGTAGAAATTGTAATAAAATATTTAGAAACATTAAAATAAATGTACAACTTCAAAAGCTGTATGTTAGAAAAATTATAAACTTGTGAATTTTCGTTGGTATAGTAATTTTTTTGATTGATTTCATTGCATACTATCTTGCCAACCCCCTCTTCACACTAAGATGCAATTCTTATGTAATTATTAAATCAGTTATATATCATTACTCAATATAGTAAAGCAATATCAGTAAAAAGAAAAATGAACTTAATATTTTAATAATTACATCAACTAATTATTTCCATTTCATTCATAAATAGAAAAAAAAAAAAAAACTTGACATGAACACATAAAAACTTACATCTTTGTACATAAATAAAGCAACACCCAAAACAATAAAGATAACACATGCGTATTTCATTAATGAATATTTTTTACGAGCTAGTAGAACTCCTAGTAGCATCACTAAAAAAAATTTTATAACAATAAAGTGAGGTAATTTTACACAAAATTTATATTTTTTATTGAATATTTTGTATAAGTCTTTATACATCCTAATTTAAAATATATCTATTGATATGTTAATTTAGTTTTTTAGAATATTAGTTTCTGAAACAACTGCATTTAAGTGTCGAATTAAGCAATCACAAATTGTAACATCTGATAATATTTCTGGTCTCTCAATTTACCCTTTAACTCTCTAGTACTGATAGTTAGATAAAATTAAAAACACAGATGTATAGCAAACTTAAATGTTATTAAAACCTTTTAGTACAGATATATAAACAAATTTAAAGACCGAGGTGTATAAAGAACTTAAATGTCATTAAAACTCTCTAGCACTGATTTTTAAATAAAATTAAAGACGAAGGTGCTTAAAAATAAAAAAATTAATTTAAAGCCCTTATAGTTATTTTAAGAAAAAATTAAACTCTGGTTTCATATTTAAATATCTTTTAAATATCTAGACTATCTTTTTATTGTTAGTATTTTTTTTACTAATAATTTAATAAAATAATTTAACTTTAAAGTTAAATTAAGTTATTTAAATTATTAAAAATCTAATATTCAAATCTTTGACATAAAATCTAAATCTTTAACATAAAATTAGACCAATAAAAATTATACTAAAACTTTTAGTATAGTTTTTATTGGTTGATTTTAAAATCAACACATATTTTTTGAAATATTAGTTACATTTTTTAAAGTGCTCGTTTATTAAAGTTCCTTAAGTTTACTTACTAGAAAAAAAAAAAATACTAATAGTATTGTTTTTTTTTTAGAAAAAACAAACAAACAATACTAACAGTATTGTTTTTTTTTTTGTAGACAACTTCATTCATCCTTTAGAATAAAGTGTCAGTTCTCTTTCCATTCACTACAAATTTTCATGTCTTTTTTCCCTCATAATAATACATTAAACCATAGCTGTGAACAACAAATACCATGTATATAAGTAAAATTATTATGTTTTTAATTATAAATTAAAAAAAAAAAAATTATTTTGTTAAAACTAAATTTGAATAAAATATACCAGGTATAGGCTTGCAGGATTTCCCTAAAACCTAAAAAAAATATATAATAATAAACACAATCAAAAGACTTTAAGTTAAAAATTTCAAGATAATTTAAGTAGTTTGAAATTTTTTGTGAACTATATTTGATCAGTTAAAGACAAAAAATCAAAAACAAACAAAAATAAAAAATAAAAAAATAATGAGTACACACTTGAGTTGGATAGTTGACATATTTCAAAGACATATTACTTGACAACATAGCACCCATGTATGATATCGAACATAATATATAAAGCAGTATAGGTGTGTCATCTCTTTGTGATTCTTTTTTATACGTTGTCTTCAAAACTAAAACGGTTATCAAAAATTATTATAGATGATTTAAACATATATATATATATATATATATATATATATATATATATATATATATATATATATATATATAAACATCTTATTTTTTGAAAAATTATTTATTTATTTTTTTAATTACAATAGGAATGAATTTAAATCGTTTATAATAATTTTTAAATTCGTTACGTGAAACACTTATTAATAAAGTTGTAATGCTCAAATTATAATTAAATTAAATTTTTTGTTGGCATTTTATTTTATTTAAATCGCAGGCGCATTTTATTTATTTATTGTTTTCCTATTTATACATATAAAAAAGTTGAAAAACCTTTTTTTAACTAGACTTTAAGTCTAGTTTTTTTTTTTTTTATTACTATTTTAAAAAATTACTATTTTAAAAAGACGTTATTTTTTTAAACAATTATTTGTTTTTTTGCAATTTTTTTGAAAAAATGTTTATACAATTCGAAAATATTATATACAACACTTTTTAATAAATTTGATAAAATTTATTCATTTATTAAACACTCATTAGTAGCAATTTGTTACTTAATTTAAAAGCGTTTTGGGTAACTTTAATAAAACGTTTAAAAAGATTTATTTCAAACGTTATTAAGCACGTAATAAAAAGTTTCGCTTCGAATTTAAGTTTTTATATTTTATTTTTATGCTAATGTTTATAAAATTTCTTTTTCGTAAAGAATTTTTATTCGTTTCTTTTTTCGTTAGGAATTATTTTTACATTAGTTTCTTTTTTTAACTTTTTTCCTAGTTTAAGTTTGCTTAGCGTTTCTACATTTCTGAAATAT